GGCGCATCTTCTGGTATATTTTGTTTTTCAATAAAACCTATTAGATGATGTAAAAACGAACTACAAAATTTGTGCTTTCTAAAAAAATTTTTTTGACTACATTTGTAACTTATTAATTTTTGGAGTGTAGCCAAAGGAAATAAAATCGAAACCATATGGTTCGATAGAGCAGTTGATGCTCTATCCAACTATATCGAAATAAGAAATTCCCGATGTTGTACTTAGATACAGTAGACTGCACAAAAGTATTAAAAATAACGTAATCGACCTGTACTTTAAACGAATTGAACTAAAGAGGAAGGCTATAACTGACATCTAGAGGAAAAAAACCGTTCAATATATGATGTGGACGTGTTATCGGGAATACTATTAAGCATCATACAAGCAGTCTGTAGATGAAAAATAAAACTATTAAAAATCATGACAACAACCTTAAAAAATTTTTCTTCACACTTGTTTGAGATTGATCAAAATTTTGGACTAGAGCCAGAGAAACTAACAAACAAATTATATGATTTGATAGAAGAGCTGATGCTCTATCCAATTGTGTTCAAATAAAAAAATTCGATGTATTGCATAAATACAGCAAACGACACAAAACTATTAAAAATAACGTAATCAACCTGTATATCTGATAAAAATATTAATTCATTTCTATCAATAAATGAATTAAGTCGTATATCATCATTAATATCTTTAAGTATTCTTAGAAATCCAATGTATGGAACAAATCAATTTGAAAATGAAACAGCTAAACAAATGATTATAACTCGTTTACCTTATTTAACACGTTTAAATAGAGTTTTAATTAGTCGAAATGAAAGACGTGGAGCTGAAATTGATTATTTACAACGTTATGCACAAGATTATTTTGATAAAAAATTAGATTTTATTCATGAACATAGACAATATCAACAATTAATTATTAAACATGCAGAACGTTTTTCACCAAATCAAAATCAAGTTAATACTTTTCTTTAATTTTTCATATATATATATTTAGTCTTTTTAATTGTATTCAAAGTAAATAAGATTTTCATTAAATTAAATTTTTTTTCTACTCAAAGAATATTTTTCATCAATAGATTATTTAATAGAGATATTCGAAAGATTGACTCATTTTTGAAATATATTTTATCGTTATTCCTATAAGAAAATTATTTAATTTTAATTTTGAGTTTATCAATAAAAATCAATTCTACAGATGATCCTTCTTTGCAAAAAAAACAATAAATTTAAAATTTCAAAAGATATGCAAATGAATAAATATTTGTACTGTTCGATGTTATTTAATATCATTATAGAATACATAAAGAATCTTTTTATCAGATTAAAACATTCTTAAAGGAATTTTTCAAAAGAAAACAATTTCAATTAAAACAAAATAATAAAGGATTTTCTATCAAAGTTGAATTTCGGTACGAGATATATCTATATAGAGAGAGAGAGAGAAGAAAGGTTCAAATAAATATTGTTTCGCTAGTTAGTTTAGATTTTTGTGAATAGTATATAATGATAATGATAT